GAACGACGAAGGCAAAATAATAGGGATTCCGCCCATCTTCGTCAGCGTCATGAATTCGAATTCACAAAGAGATGAAGGGTAAAACTTTCAAAAACTCGAAACTTCACCAGACCCCTTTTGAGATGCGACAGGCATTCTACTTCCATTCAGAATTGACGTGTCATATTGAGTGTGATATAGCCATTACAGTGATTGCAAGAGCAAACCATTAGTGTACTAGTCAATGTATCGTCCCAGACAAGTGTGGTACCATACGTGGCAATGTTAGGGATCGGCGCCTCTCCTTGGTATAGTAAGTGTAAATTCAAAAGAATTAGAGCGTGATGGGCACTCCTAGCCACCACCCCTCTCTGCCCTCATATGTTTGACAACATCCATCAGAAAGGGCAATTTCCTTGGTTGGACATTGTACTCCTGACACGCAATTATGTTTTCGATATTTGATATTTCTGTTTTTATTTTTCCTAGGACCTTCCGAAAAGCAACGGGTGGCATACAGGGAGCGCTTTAGCTTCACGCAAAGCAACCGATAGTAGTAAAATATGCTATCCACAAGTGTACTAAGCAAAGCCAGTGCAATGGATTTTCTAATTTGTCGTTCCTCAAGAGGGTCATATCCGGCAGTGACTCGAAAAAAGCAAATGGGAATCGCGCAGTATGTAAATGGTTAAACTGAACTCATTTCAAATGCCACGTCTAGTGAATTAGAAAGCGTTCTTCAGAAAACGAACAAAATTTATCGGAGACTTGAAAGCCTCTAATTCAGTACCCTTTATGGCTCAGTGAACATGGCTCCTAAGGGTTTGATAATAAGAACAGGTTGGGAACGTTCGTCGTCCACTCGAGGTCGTAGAGTTATTTGAATGTGCATAATGGCTATAAAATAAATAGTCATAGACTCAGTCCGGAGTAATATCGCCCTCAATGTAGTATCAATCGACTCTACTCCGGGGAGGTAAGGCTGAGTTCTAGCGGCTTCTCGGTTCGAGCCCTTAGCAGTGCAACAGCACCAGCTTTGCCTTTAGAGATAATAACTATAGAAAAAATAATAACAACAGTTGTTTTGTTATGATAACTGCTGTTTAACGCCGCAGTACGCGTTCCGAATGTTATCACAAGAATGCTGAGTTGTGGGCAAAAGTCGTGCCCCAGGGGAGTCGAACCCGCACCTCACGCTTTCCGGGCGAGTGCGCTATCCGTTACGCCACCAGGGCCGCTTTTACCCTCTCAGCTTAACGGCTTATGCCGTAACCTTACAGCACTCACACGTTTAACTTGGTGAGCCGGTCAGCCGTAATCGTTGAGATATCGGCATGAAACCGCAAGGCTGAAGGCTTT